ATTTGCTAAATTCAGTCTGACAAATTAAGTCCTAAAAACTTGTTTAAAAAAAAAAAAAATCACTAAATTCAACCATGACTTAATATAAAATGTAGCTGAGCACTTAATAAAAGTTATGTTGTGAGTGATCTCATCTTATGCTTATTAATTGACCTTCTGAATCCTCTACATCCATCTTATTCTCACACTGATATCCAGCAGCTGACATTTCCATACTAAACTATGAACGCTAACGATCAGGACATTAAAAAAAAAATCCATATCTAAACAGAATGAAGCCAAATACTGTAAATCTAAAGTTTCAAGTGATTGCCTTCAATAAAAGGCAAGACAAGTCTAAATAGTATTTGTTGCTCACAATGAACAGATGAGTTCTCAGCGTGTCTGAAGTATTTGGAAATAGATTCCTGAAAACTTAAAAACAGACCACTCAAAAGTGCAATCAATGCTCTCATAATGGTAAGATAAACATGACTGAGGTAGTTGATAATTATTTTGATTTTATGCCCACTGAACTTTTAAATCTGAGATAAAAATCAAAAATGTTCCAGCCTAATGGATGTGTATTCATAAGAAAAAACAAAACTATCATGTTCATACTCACCGGAACTTTACTTCCGACTATCTGCATGCAGTGGTCAGCCAAGAGAGGTTATTGTGTAAAAAAGATAATAATAATACATAAATAAACACAGCAAAGTACTTAGTAGGATGTAGCATCACACAAATTTGTCAGTGTTTAATCATTAGTAGTAGTTACATTCTTTTATGACTTTATCAAACTGTTTAAGAGTTACAGCTTCCCAACAGAAAATAGTAGTTCTACTGTAGGAGAAATAATTTGAAATTCTTATGTTCCGCTGCTGAATCATAAGTATTTTACACATTTACAAACAAATAAATAAATACCTAGCTTGCCATCTACATCTTGAAAGATTAAGAGACATGCCATTTTGCTAAAATTGTCAGGTCAGATTTTTTTTATATATGACACTGAGAGAACTACAGAAAAAAGTAATGGCATACTGACTTCCTTGTACATGTAAACTTCATTTATTGTGGAGCTTTTGATCTATTTAGATGATGTCATCACTGAATTTAATTAAGTTTTCATAATCAAAAATATAGCCTACAGTTATAAATCTAACTTGCATTTCAGAAAATCTCATGTGGCATTTTTCTTCAACTGCTCAGTATGGATGCTTTTAATTACATGGATAATTAAGCAGTTATTTACAGAATGACATCATCTCTTTTTTACCATGGAACAGCATCTCTACATATTCATGAACAAGAAGTTGACTTTCCACAGAAGCAGCTCTGCAGAAAGGCAGCACATCTCTGCCCTGTTCTATCACTTTGCACAAATTACCATGTTCCTGTGAACACCAGGACTATGGACTTCTGCCTAAATATTTGCTGCAGTCTGATAGCAGCCAGCTTATTGAATAACCACTTTTACCTGATTAAGAGCCTGAGACAGTATGCTTTTGTTCTGAGATCTGAATTCTATTGTATCTGTTCAGCCTCTACCTGCTTCATTTTCTACTCTTATCTCTTCCGTTACTCTTTTAGGAAGTCTTTCAGAAGACAGAAGTCCCTGCAAGTCTTTCACAATCACCTCTTCTCTCCTCTTCCTGATGAGGCTTCCTCTAGAAGCATTAAGATGGACTGTCATCACCAGACAACCTCTTTTCCTAATTTACTGCCGCCTTCTCTCATCAATGTTCAACTCATTCAGTATGACAGGTCACCAACTTCAGTTCTGAAATAGAATTCTGAGCCTTCACCATTTCCCAAGTAAAACTTGCATGGTCAACAATCTTTCTCTTCAAGTGAGAGGAGGAATCAGAAGCACAGGTAATCAATTCACATGAAAGCATCCAGCTTATTAGCTTCTATCCTTCATCCCCCATGGAAGAGAAAAGCTTTTTTTCACCTACTGGAAACCAAGATTTCTTTCCCACTCAGAACTCTGAAGACAGTACAGTGTTTTAGAAAAGCATGGTCAACATGCTGCAGGTGGCACACAAGGCAGAGAAAATGAAGCACCAAATTTAAAAATAATTTGGTTAAGACAACATCAGCAAATGAGAGTGATATTTTCAAATGGGTGGAGAGAGCTCAAAAGCCTAACTAAAACAAACATGAAATGAATTGGAAGAAAAGTCACTTCAACTGTTAAGTGTGCTTTGTGAGCTCTAAGCAGAAGAAAAGGCCCAAGTATTTTCAGTATAAAAAAGGAAGACAGATAAACAATTATCTGTGACCAAAGAAAAAGGTAGAAAATTTTAAGAAAGTTCATTTTGAATGTGATCAGCATTTTCATGGAAGACAAGCCTGAAGATGGCCTGAAGAAAAGAAAGTTTGACAATTCATGATGCAGTAAAAATTGGTTAGAGCTTGAATTCAGCTAAGTAGAAAAATAGTTTAACTAAACAGAAGACAAAATTAACAGTGAAAACAAGGTTTTGCTTTAGTTTAAGATCCCAATCAACATTTTACAATTAGCTCTACTTCTTATATTTTTTTAAATCAGTTAAGATGCTAGCTATTTAAAAACTAAATTAGGGTAACACACTACAGAAAGGTCGTTCATATTTCTGAACAACCTTAAATTATTCCATTCAAATGCTGCGATTCAATTGCAAGAAGGACTTACTGAAGCACAGAAACTTCGATATGAGCTCTTTTTCCATTAGGAAAAACATTTTGCATATGTTTAAAACATCCATAATGGCACTGACTTAAGTTCAAAGCGCACATTCATATGAGGACATTTTGGGATATTTTTTTTTTTTTAAATTGTTAGTACATTTTGGCAAACATATCCCAGTTCTGTTAAGTTTCCCATGCTGCAGTGCATATGGTGGCAATAATGCAATCTGTTAAAATTTTCAGCAGTTAGACATGCAATGGTAGCCATGCTTTTCCTACCTACTTACAAAATTATGGTACTTGGGGCAGCTACGTTTCGATATAGATACATATAAGAGAGATCACCATCATCCAACTATGTTTTGGGAAAGGATTGCAAGTAATTCCATTGTGAAAGTTTCTACTGCTTCCATAAAATATTTTTGCTTATTAAGAAAAATTTAAGATTTAACATGGATCATCAAGTGAAGACAAAAACCTTAAAACATGTAATCAATAGTTCCCGAATATAGTCTAGGTAAAGTATATTAACAGGAAATTTTGCAATATTCACTGCATAAGCTTCAATAATTCTCCAATAACTTGTATGTTTAGCTAGACCATGCTTTAAGCACTGGATTCCTTCCAGGGCAGACTAAGGGACTATGGATTTTGTTTAAGATTAATTCATACAGCAACATCACTCCTCTCAGAAACCTAAATCAGCATTTTCACATTATAATGCAAGTTTTTCCTCACTTAAGTTTATCATGTTCAACACAAAGCATTTGCACTTAATAACTGCATGCGATTTTAGTTTTAATTTTTTGAAATTTAACTCTGTAGAGTTGATTTTAAAGGTTAAAAGAAAAAACAAGTCAACTGCAGTTTGCAGTCCATGCTTATAGATTCATCAGGCAGACACCAACACAATCTTAGTTGCCAGTTAATTTCACTAAGAAACACATTATTATTTAATGCTATCTGTATTTAGCACTCCACCTCAGATCTGTAGAACTGCTAGCAGTGCTGCCATTATGTATTCGAACAATTATTCCACACAGTGTTCACATCCAGTAACCTTTTATTGCACACAATAACTTAGGTGTGAAAAAAAGATGAGATTCATTCTAATTTCCAAACAAAATCATATGCATTACCCAATTTTATTGAAGAACTATGCTGATACCAAATCTTATCACTTGAAGCATACTACTGCCCCTCTGGATACACAAAGCTACCCCCCCACCACCACTTCTCCCCAATACTGCAATACATTCAGTTCCTCAGAATTCACCACTAGCTTCTTTAAAATTCTTTATACAACAAATAGTGGCAAAATCAGGACAAAAGCTATTTCTAGGGAAATCACAACATATATATACACACACATGTTGTGAGATATATATACAAGTTTCATCCAACATTCATGAATTTTTGTGGCATATTCTCCTTTTCCATGATAAGAACTATATTTGCCATAGTAAATTTTTAATACACAAAACCCCTTACTGTTGTATTTTATAACTAATTAGTACTAACAGTCCCACTAACATTAGTCCCACTGCAGAAAATAAATTGCAGCTCTTCACTATTTGAAATTGTATTTCTTCACCCCAACAAATGTCGGTTCTCTTACACTTCTGGCACCCCGAAACAGACTTCAAAACTTCTGCATGAAGGATCCATCAACTAAAGGTTAATCAATCGACTTAAGTACAGAAAATGATCAAAACAAATGAAAGGTCTGAATATATTTTTTTCTACTCAAAATATTTGAAACTCATTTTAAGACCATCTTTTCACTAAAGGAATCACTTTCTTTACCTTCAGAACATTTCTTAGTAGAATATTTAATGCAGTCTTCCAGCCAGCTACAGGACTCAACTTATTCAAATGAAGCTAAAATACTGGCTTTACTTCAATTTTAAATACTGTCAATATTTTGATTCCCTGTTTCTAACACTGCAAATTGTACATCTAGTATGTATGTCATTAATGAAACCATAAAGCCATGCTATCCCTTCCAAAAGCTTTTGGTACCAAAAATTTGTAAGATGAATTCCACAGAAATATGCTCAGGTTCCATCCATTACTCCTCATCACAGGATTCGCAATTTCTTACTATTTACAAGGAAGCATCAAGTTTTTACATTGCCCAACAACCAAAATACAAACTAACCCTTCAGACGCAGCTGCAAGCATTTAAAAGTATATTAGTAAGTAGAGGTTTATTATTTTTTTCCTACCACTCTTAGAAGATAAATCCAGACAAAAAAATTAAAAGTTTCAAGCTTGAAAAGTACAACACTCATAAAGCTAAGCTTCTTACTTTCATCTGTCTTGGAGAGGTGACTACTTACAGATTTGGCAGTTGCAGAAATGTATTGGACAACCATCTCACGTTTTGTGCTCAAGTCTTTATCTCTTAAAGGAGCTTTACGTTCTTCATTTAGATTCATGTCTTCCTGTAAAGAAACAGACCACACAACATCAAGATTCTATTTCATGCTTTTTATTAGTCTTTGTTATTTTTATACTCCTTTTCTTAAACAAACGACTCATTTTTAAACAAACAGAAGTGACTTTTCCCAGCTTATCTGCCTTTCAGTTTGTTTAATTCTGAGCTACCCAATTTTCTCATTTAGTTCTGTCACTTCAAGTGTTTGCGGTTTTCAAGACTTAGCCAAAATTATAACTGCATCAAGGGTAGTTATGATTAATGAAATTTGACTCAAGAAATAAAACTAGAGGACAAAACCAAAAATTCTACACCTCAAGTTGATCACACAAGTGTTAACTCCTGTGAAGTTCCTATGTTTTTTATAAAATCTTATCACAATGGACACCATTCCTGCCCTATCTATTCAGAAGGCTGTTATTACATAGATTATTAGTTTGTGGCAGGGGTAGATGTGAATGTGTTCCAACTGACATATTTAAAGAAAACATAAAAATCCAAATATTTTGCTAGATTAAATCTAAATATGCCTGTTTCAACTTAATAACTGATTAAATACATGTATTCATCACTAGTCATGACTCGTCTTGCCATTAAAAGTCAAAGTAACTTCAGATTAGCAACTAAGACCAGTAAATATTAGTGTAACACCTTACTAGGTAACAGCTTTTTCAAAAGAATTATTGGTCTCGAAGACAGACCTATTGTCTGCTTCAATTAACATTACTTGGAAAAGTTAAAAATTAATCCCTTAATCTAACAAGGAAATCATGTATTAATTAACGCTCATCCAATCTGTCAAAAGAGATTCACACTTCATTGAACAGAGCAGAGCTACCCAATGGAACAGGACAGTTCTTAGGCCATACTGACTGTGTGGAAGTTTACAACAATTTTGAAGAATGATACAGAAAACAGCATTTCCAACAATACTCAAAATACTGCATTTCCATATACTTCATGGATCAGCACCAATGTGCATGGCAGAATTAACACACACCTACTTCAAAAGTTTGTTTCTGTATTACTAATAGAAAAGCTTGCTTGTGAGGGCAATCAGAAACCTTGACAAGTGATCCTAGGACAGAAAATACTCTATTCAAGACCACATAAAAATTCAGCTTTCTATACATTAAGATTTTATTAATAGAAATGACTATTTTCCAAAGGTATTTACTTAAGTTTATTAAAAACTATCCTTCAACAGCAGTATCTCACTATTGCAACTAAGGTCTATAGAGGTTATGTTAATGAAGCACTCAACAGCTTAAGATTTTCACTTTTGGCTTTTTGCCTTTGTTTTCTCTGTAGAAGTAGGCCAAGTAATTTAAACATATATAATATAAGCATTCGATGAGTTAATTGTTTATGTGCCAATTTAGACAGGTCTATCAGGCCTATGCTATGCTATGCTCTCCCAAGTAGTTAATATTTCCAAAATGAACACATTTGAAAATCACTACGACATAATAAATGCCAACATGAAAACAAATTAAAACCTCATAAAACAATGTAGCACATCATCTTACCATCATTTTTTCAAAGAGATCCATAACTTCTTTTTCTGATAAGTTCATGCAACGCTCATCAACAAGTGCCTGGGCAAGTGGGATTTCACTTATAGAAGGTTGAGAGTCAATAGGATGCTGAATGAGAGGTTTCTCTTTTTTCACTCCTGATTTTCTGAAGCTTGTTATTCTGTCACGCTGCAAAAACATCCATTTAAAAATAAGCAGAAATAGAAATACAGGAAAGCAGCCAATTACATGGCAGTAATACACACATATTTAGTTAATCCAAGCAGCAGAGTTAAAACTCAAACTGAACTGTTTAGTAAAAATATCCTAACATTCAGAGATTACTTCTCATAGAAAGACAACATTTAAGGTAAATTCATGACAGGGCACATGCAAAAGGGATATAAATATTTCTCACAGTTTCAAAAGTATACCATCTATGTTAAGGTCTTAGCATTTCAAATTCTTGAGTTCATCTTCTCACATTACTCCCTAGTTATCCTGATAGTGAATAAATATGGTACCACAAAGGTAATGTCCAAGCGTTCCTTCACCTGAAGAGCTATAAGTCTTTGGAGGACAAGTGAAAAAGCCAGCGTTGGGAAGGAGGTACTCACAAGTTCATCAGGCTTATAAAAAAATCCTGCTAAAGTAAAATAAAGTTTGTAGAGGAATTAATGCTCCAAGTATAGTTCACAAATCCTTGAAGTGTTTTTGAGTACGGACTCCTGAAATTAGTGCGTAATTTTAAAAAGCCAGGTAATGGATTACTTACATAGAAGCAGCCATCCATAGTTAAATACCCACAACACATTAGTAAAAGCATATCAAACAGTCTGCAATGACGTTTCACTGGTTAAGGCTGACTTGTTTTATGCCTTGTACCAAACCCCCCACCTTTTTTTTTTTCTTTTTTAAAGCATGCTTACTCAGTTAATTTGTTAATATTGAAAACAACCAACAAGAGCACCTTCCTTATAAGGCCATTTATTACTGCATCAGTAATATATAACTGTTCTGAACAGAGTCAGAATTTTTTTATTTAATAATACTGTCTTTAACTATATATATATATGTATGTTCATTTTAAGAACATTATTCTATAGCAATTTTTCTAAATTAACTGTTTGCATCAACAAATACTAGTGTATTTGTTCCAGGCATTGAACAGCCTTATGAAGATGTGCTTTCATCTAACAGCAGCTTATGTAGGGTTACCAGTATCATTTATAGCAGTTATTGCAATCTCTGTGAAGACATGTAAACCAAGATTTATATTTTCTATAACTAAACAACCTCTGTGAGGTGTGAAAAGTTTATTGCAGTATTTTGTTGTAGGAAATTTGATTTGGTTTAGATTAGTGCAGCCAGGAGTGGGGAAATTTGACCAAGTGCTGTGGAATATGGGGAAGAAAGATTCTTTCTTTTTTGGGGGGAAGAAAGATTCTTTCTTTTTTTTTTTTAATTGTTTTCTTTCTTTTTCTTGGTTTGTTTTGCTGTTGGGTTTGTTCTGTTGTTGTTTTTTGAGATCCTACAATATTAGCTTAAGTTTTTGAAAGGAAAGTATCCCTAGATAAGCTGCATGTCCTTCAAATTTCTTTGGAGGTATTTTTTGGTTTTTGTGTTTTTGAGGGGAGGGGGGTTGGGTTTGAGTTTCCTTCTTCCTTAGAAGTCTTACATTTGTGGACAGAAACACATTACCTACAAGGATACTGTTAATGTCTTTAACGAGGCAAGAGTTTTACTTTAATCCCATTTTTTCCTTATAAGAATAGTTTACATTTTTAAAACTAATATGAGGGCATAGCCTATTGAAAAGGCCAAAGATGACTTAATGCCTGAACGGCAGCATCCAAAATGAGCCAATATACATCAAATGCAGTTTTACTGTTCACTTACATTAAAAAGCCCATTCACCATTTAAAAAAAAAAAAAAAGCCATTTAAGATCAATTTCAACATACTGTGACCTGTTTCAAGTATACCTTATTAACAACAAATCTCTTTAATCACATTGCAATCATGTGATCAACTTTAAAGCCATAAATGAATCTTCTACATGATTACTAGGTACAATTTCTTAATTTCAGGCATGTAAGTGATGATTAACTAAGTGGCCAGTATGGCTTAACTATTACATATAGAAAATAAGAGTTTATAATTTTGCTGAAATCAATTTTGATATAAGTTTCTGTAAGAATAGTTTACAACAGGTTTCAAAGTATTCAGAATTAGAAAGTTAGTGCTACTGAATACAAACTTTCTGATTGACAAACAGTATGCACTTATTATCCAAAATGGTTCCACTTGAATCACGTTGCAACTAACTTTGAAGAACCACTACAGATCCTTTATTGTTAAAAAGGAGGTCAAGAGAAATAACACCTGAACTGTTGAATAACAGTTTCAACATATCCACAGTATTACTAAAGTATTTAGAATGTGGTTAAAGAAGCTTCTCCAAATAGACAACATAAATTACTCTTCTTCAACTGAAATTACAAATCTTTAGGAATAGTAACTCAATTTTCTGAAATGTAACACTTAATATCCTTATAAGAACATGTTACATTGTCCACAACATTTGAAGTAAAATAGCATGCAGCGTGGAGTTACCATTGCAAATTAAGGTGTTACAAAGACCTTACCACATCATCTGCCAAAGTTTTTATTTGAATATTCTATTAAAAAAAACAAACACAAACACAAATCAAAGAAAAAAAGACAGCGTTACCTACTGTTTCAGAATAAAGAAGTCTGTATTTCATGTACTCTAACATTATAAAGCACTTGAAATTTCAGTAAGTGATCTAACAAAACTGCAGCTAAATGAGCATGGAATCTACTGCATTTTATGTGAAAAAAGTAGGCTTGCATCCCATTTCACCTTGTCTTTTGACTATTTAACTCATGAACCTGAAACTGTATAGCTCTAGCACCCCCACTATTTCACAAAAATGCCGTAAGATCTCTTAGAAATCTTTCAGAAACAAACATGGACTACTGGACTTCAAACAGAGTCAGCAGATAGTTGTATGACAGTCTCAGTTTTGACAGAGTTTTTGAGACTTGGAGAGTTGAGGCGAATTTCCTGCACCGTAGCTTCTTGAGCCTTCTGCCAGTTTCTCCTTAATACTGAGTAATGTAAATTGATAGATGAAAAGCCAGTGTACTGATGATGCACAAAGCAGTCACTACTACCTCTCCCTCCCTACTACCTTCTCACTTTTCCTTACCAGCAGTAAAATCCTGCTGACAAAGATCACCAACGTTACATTTTTACTCGCACCCAAAAAAGCAATCTATATTGCATACCAATATCAATAATCATATTGAGGAAGCATTCAGTTAATAAACATTGCTCAATCTACACCAAGCAGTCATGAATGTGTAATCAAGGTTTAGACTTCAGGGGTGGGGTGGGGGTGGAAGGGCGGGGGGTAGGAAATCCAAAACAAAAAGAACTGCTGTGTATGAAAAAGTGTGGTAATTGATCCATAATGACACAACCCTGCAAGTCACTGGTTAGGAAACAGTAACCCTATTTTCTTGGACAACACCATTTCAGATTCCTTGGTTATGCTCTCACCAGCCGAAATTATCAAGGTGCTCCTAATCAATATCCCATACCACTGTGTATTAACACAGTGGATGAGTTCGATGCTACTGGGAATGAACCTATCACTGTTCAACATACACCACACAACATTTTACTCCCCTGTGTGGATATATGCTCCTTCTAATCTTACTTTCTGCCTCTTGGATACAGTTGTCAGTATTGTATTTCTGAAACAAAGAAATCTGCAAGACTATACAAATAGCAGAGGTGGCATCAAGGTGGAAAGGAGGGACCACGTGTTCATACTCCACAAGTATAATGAAGACAAGCATTCAGAGGTATCCAGGACGGCGTGGTGGATTGACCCTGGCTGGCAGGTCAGTCCCCACCCAGCCACTTGCTCACTCCCTCACAGCAGGATCAGGGAGAGAATCAGAATTGCAAAAGCAAGAAAAACTCATGGGTTGAGATAAATATCGTTTAACAAGTGAAGGGGGGCGGGGGGAAGATAAAGAAACAAATGATGCAAAAGTCATCACTTGCCACCAGCAGACCAATACCTACCCAGCCTCCGAGCCACTGCTACTTTGGAAAAAACTCCTCCTCCCTGCCGCCCCTGGTTTTATGGCCGAGCACAATGTTGTATGGTATGAAGCATCTCTTTGCTCAGTTTGGATCAGCTGTCCTGGCTGCGTCCCCTCCCAACCTCTGGGCCACCCCATCCTACTCCCTGTGGGGGTGGCACACTAAGAAACACTCAGCCTCGACATTGGGCAAGCGCTGTTTTAACACTGGTGTTTTACCAACACTCTCTTGGTCACAGATCTAGAACACAGCACCATATGGGCTGCTATGAAGAAAATTAACTCCATCCCAGCCTGACCCAGTACTGAGAGCTAGGATAAAATCTTTTTTCTCTTACTACTCCAGATGTTGACACCAACCTTTCACCTTCCTATCTGCCGTATCTCAAACCTCTTCCTTACAGCTACACCTCTCCTGTATTTTTGTTACCTGGACTTAGTATGGTGTTTAAAAGAGGAAGTAATACTCTAATCTTGAAATAAAAACTAAGATGTCCTTGCTCTGCTAAATAGACATTTTCTTTAATTGAGATTATTGAGCTAGAAGTCCAAATGAAGTAAAGCCTAACTATGACTTCAATCCAGAGACAGCTATGTAAGCAAGAAGTTCTAAAACTCTGTATCCGTCTTAGCAGTCACTTGTACTAGAAATATTTTTTCCCCTTCTCATTTAAGTACTGTCAATCTCTCCCAGAACCTGGAACAGGATAATCTACTCCATTTCTACATTTATATTGCATTTGTCACTCAAACTCCTCTGGGCAAAATACAGAGTACTAAAGCAAGGTACCACACAGCATTTCTTCAGACATCTCAAGCTCACTTCCCAGATCTCCTTACGGTGCATAAGCTACATCGCTGCCAGTAGCTACTCAAGATAAGCAACACATTTAACAGGTAGAAGAGAAACTGCAAGCAGCTGGAGGCAGAGGCAAGGTAGTTATGTACCTGCAGATTCTCATTGACACACTATTTTGACAGTCTCTTACACTAACAAAGAAATCGCACTTCCAGCCTGATTTAAGAACATAAACCACAAGTAGTTTACCTCCCCAGGAGGAAGTTTAAGATATTGCAGTTTTGTAGTCAGACCTCTAGCATTATTCTTTCAGCCATGTATAAGACAGCCAGAGCATCAGGAGATGAAAAGGAATCAATCCTTTCCTAGCCTGTTAAAGACACTAACTCCCCAATTTTTAGAAGCAGCCCAAAGGCAGAAGTTTTGCAAAAATCTCTATGATAAAACATTTGCAGATAAGGGATAGCAAATTAATATTTATATATATAAACACACATACAATTTAAGACGGCATCATATCTCTCCTAGTTTTTAATATCAACACAAACCATGGAACTTCATCAACTCCTATATCAAAGATCTTCTTCTTATGATTTACTTAGTTCTTCACTTCGAAGACTTAAGTGACTAAGTTTCTCCCTTTCAAACATAGTCTTTCCAGTCCATCAATAGTTAAAAGTATCACTTTCTAATTACTACTCCCAGTTTTAGTTTACTGTAAATATTCCACTACTTGCATAAGTACTGTCAGATCATGACAATAAGGCACACACAAAAAAAAAATCATAGCATATAATAATGCAACTGCATCACATTATTTTTTTATCTTAAAAGGTCAGTCTCGGCCATGTTAATATTCAGAGTAATTGAAATCTTGCACATAAAAACAGTAGACAGATTTTCACCATAGTTCACTACATTTATTGGTATGAAAGTCACTATTTCCTCATTCAAGGTTGGTTCAGGCTACTGCAGTAACAATGTCAACATTCAAAGAATTAAACGACTTGAGATGATTGCATTAACTTTTAATGCAAAACTCACAGCAAGTCTACTTTTTCTTGAATCTTCCTCTAACTCATGTATTAATAAAACTTTCCAGATGACTTGAGTTGGCCATGAGTTGTAAATCAAGGTGCTTTTACATGGGTTGGTTAATCTTTCCATTACATGTAAGTATTACTTTGCCATGTTCTTAATTGTTACACTCAAGACTGTCACTTCTACCACAAAAATAAAAACAAAAGCAACTCACCATTTACCACATGTATAATGAAACAACGATCAGCTGGGTAACTTCTAAACTTAACAGCAATTTTCTCTCTGTGGCACACTGCTCAGGCAAATCGTGGTGTGCTGCAATACCCACTTCTGTACACATGCTACAACGGCAAGTAACAGCTCCAACTGCTACTAGCAATCCTAATTTTCTAGGAGTAACAAAGAGAAACTTGACTTTCTCTTAACTTTCTTGTTTTTAAACTAAGATGATACAACTGTTTTCTATACTTCACCTGGACTACAACACCTGCAAAAGACTCTGTAAACTTGGCTCAAGGATAAGTGTCTTTTAACCGGCTGCAAATAAATTTGCATACAGCCAGGAAGGGAATAACTTCTCATATGAGTACCTGAGCCAAGAGAGTTTAAAGGGACAAAACGCAAAACTGATTAATATCTAAAGTACAAAAAGTTGTGTGCAATTTGAGTCTAGGTCTTATAACCACAAAATAGAATTTACTCCTACAACCTCTGTTCTTCAGTACAGATAACAAGTAACCTTCCCAGACAAATTTAACAATCTGTTAACATTTTCACTTTTGTAATTAAATGTAAAAAGGTACCTAGGAAATTGTGAAAAGATACCCGAGTCACTAGCTGATGTGCAGAAACTAGAACTACACACTCATTTAGGACTTTCAAGACCTTCATCCATGACAAAGTATACCTGGCATTACTAATAAAATTAGTAAAAATATAATTCACAATATGTTTGCTTTATAGTAATTTTTCGGCCCTTCAAAGAGTATTCACCATGCTTTCCAAAAAGAACTTGAAATGACTGTTGTAATCCATGAGGTATATCAGAGAGTTGAAATTAGAAAAACTAATAGTTTTGTTACTATTTTTGCACATTTGTATTTGGTCTATATGACACCACATGGAAAACGCTTGTTTGCTTTGCAGCTGTTCACTTCCCAACTTCCTTAAATATGTGTTGTTTAAATTATTAAACTAAGGTTTAATTTATAACCTGAACATGAAGGTAAACATTCCCTGGGACACAACAAGGGGAGACCAAGGAGCTTGTGAACACCTTACACCAGGCTGCTAAAATGAAGCTGGAAAGTTATTCATGTTGGCAGCACAGAGGTAGCACACAGAGAGTCAGCGCTGTTAGACGAGGATGACAGCCATCTTTCCGACCAGGAAGCCGCCTGGTTTTCCCCGATTACTCTTTTTTGCCCAGGAGACTGACCATCCAGAAATGAGCAATACTAGGAAAAGAAGTTAGATGACAACTCATGCTAAATAAAGCCAGAGGGTCACCCAAGTTGGTAATTATTAACAGCAGAGGGCACCAATACTTCAATCATAGTGCTGGAAGATTGAGTGCCTCAGTGCTGCTCCCAAATAGGAGGGAGGGGGCAGAGGCACGTTAGTCATATTGGACACTCACCCTCACCAATGCCATTGTCTGATCCTCAAGGGATGAAGGAAAGCGGTACCTCCACACCA